AACGGGCAGGCCACCGCCTCATCTTACGCCAACACCGGAGAGCCAGATGGCCTAACAATCGTCACGCCCGAGCCCACCGCCCGTGATGAAAGTTCAACAAATCAGAGCCTGCGCCCCGTCCAACAAACTACCCACGCGCAAGAAAGATTAATTGTCGCTGTATGTTTGCAGTAATGACTGTATCCTATAAATACTGCAAACTTCTGTGCATGCATTATTGTTTCTGCTACTCAGTAATGACTGTATCCTATAAATACTGCAAACTTCTGTGCATGCATTACCCATTTCTGCTACTGTTTCCTATTCATGTTTATGATGATGAATCCGCGACCGATGTCGAAACGTCAGGCGAATAAGCGTATTGTCCCAGCGATCGGGTCTTCTTCTTCTCAGAAGCTGGGCCTCCAAAGAGGTATTATTTTAGACTGCCTCCCGTACTGTAGCAAGACAACGATAACCTATCTGCATGAGGTTCTTTTTTGAGAAATGTCTCGGTCGAGCGGTGGCGAACTGGGCCAGTTGAAGAAAGGAAAATGAAGTAGGAGGAATATATTGTAACAGCTGTGACAATATGCAGCAATAGAAGTAAAAAGCCACCAAAGCATAAATGCACAGATTCAAAAGAGCACAGAGAAGTAAAAAATGAAAATGGACATATGATGACTGAGACAAAAAGACCAGGTAGACCAAAAAGGCAAGAAAAGCACTCCAAATACAAACAACAGAACAATCTAGAAAAATGACCAAAGGAAGGACATAAACTGTGCCCAAAATATTACAAGTAAAGCTTCCTTGATTCATCGACACTTTTTTCAGTAGAATTAGTCAATCGGGACTCCTTACTAGTGCCGTTGATGTCATGAAAACCAGAAGTGTCAAAGACACCGGACGAAGACAGGGATGTTCTCTTCCAAGCGTCCGTAAAAGTGGCAACGGCAGCAGAAGCGACAGCCGTGGAGGAAGATAACACCGAACGTCCGGACGAACGGATGTGTGAACGCAGTCGAGTGGAGGTACTAGAAACCATTGCGGGCAAGGAGCTGGTAGGCTTAGACTGCAGAGCGAGCTGGTGGTCGCTTACTGGTCCCCCACGTCCAAAACTCAACTGGTTCAACGCCTCCTGCTCCTCAATGCGCTTAAGGATCTCACTAACATTTGTTTCGAGAACTATTCCACCACATATTAACTCATTCAGGAGGTAGTGCACCTAAAAAAATCAGAGAAAAAATTACGCATTCCCTGATAAGAGAAGATTTTAACTTTCTGAAAGCAATTGAAGGATTAAAA